ACATCTATATGTTTAATGTTGTTTGTACGCATGACAAGGAATGGAGTGTAGCTAAGGAAACCAGATATGGTCATTACTGAAGAGGAAGGTTAACCATTGTGGCGAACCTCCAAGCCACTGTCTCAGCTCGTTCAGAGGATCAGGGTTCATCCTCTCCTTCCCTCTACCCGCAGCCTCCAGCAAGACTCAGAGGAAATAAATCTCCTCTCAACCACAAAGCTAATGTATCAACTCTAGAGAAATGTTTTATATATTTAACAGAGTGCTATAATGGCCATTTTTTTCCTGCAAACTTGAGTACTTTGAGGAATGCTCTTAAAAAACAGATTGTATTGAGACGCCCTAATGATAGTCTCGAGCTCTGGACCATGTAGGTGTCTCTAATATGTTGGACTATGCTGCCTCCATGTGGCCATACATGCATCTGTGTTTATATTGTCAAGGACCTGGATTGTAGACCTGGACATAGGATACAAAACCTTCTCAATTCAAGTCCACATGTTGGGTCTTTGTAAATCGTATTTAAGATTCCAAACGAGATCATCTGTTTGTCATCTCACTTACTAAGCAGAGGTAATTATTATTTCAGCAAGTATCACAAACTGAATGAAAAGCCTTTTGCAATGTTGCAGATAGGTGGTTGCTATACTGATACCCTAGTGTTCTCCGGAACAGAGGGATACAGCTTTAACAAGCAGACCTCTAAACTTACTTGGAGTCTAAATTGAAGGTAGTCAGAAGCAGTATCTTTAGAAACTTTAAAAGGTCCCATGACATGCTTTTCTGGTTATTAGGCTACCCATCCCCTCGTGTGTTATGAAGGTTTTTCTGCATGTAAACGGTCCGCAAAGTCACAAACCCTCAAAGTACACCCTGTAGCGAGTAAAACTCTAACACAGAAAAGACCTGTCTATGCTGCCCCAGAACGCCTCGTTGGAGATTTCTCTTTTTCCATTATTTTCTTCCTGAGTATAGTGACGTAACGGTCATAGTGACCAATCCGCGGAGCTCCTCACACACACACACTCACTCAGCCTTATCTTTTCTCAACCGTGGCTGTGAGTGTGTGTGTGTGTGCTCAGCCTGAGTTCTGCTGTGTCTCGCTGTCTCGCAGACCCCACGCAGCAACCAGGAAACGACACCAGTAATCCAGCTCACACTGTCCGCTCCTCGAGCCTCAAAGGGCGGAGCAGCGAGCCCCGCAACGTCCCGCCAACACGGCCCCCAGACCCCACGCAGCATTCTCATCTGTTTGTCATTACTGGTGTCATTTTCTGGTTGCTAACAAACGCCATTGTAACACATAATCACTGATGTTCAGCTGTAACGGTGGTGGACTCATCAGAACAGAGTGGGCGAGCTGACCAATCAGAGCACAGTGGGCTCATAGGGAGGCGGGGGGGGGGGGGGGGCAGGTGCTCCAACAAGCCGTTTAGGACAGAGAGTGAATACACATACTTTACAGAGATGCTGTATGAGAAACCAATGGGATATTCTAGTAGACCTCAACAATGGAATTATGATCAGTAGAAATGGCCATGTCATGGGACCTTTAAAAGGTGGAGTGATTATATGCTGTTTTGTTCAAATTGTCATGTTATTGCTTGGATTACATCATCAAGGTTAAGACTCTGATGACAGCACCAGAGGAAAAAGTCATGTCATCACTAAACTGATTACGATTTATCCAGAGGGGCACATGAATGTTTGTACCAGTGTGTACAAATCTGAGTATCTAATGGTTATCGAGAAATTCCAGTCAAAAAACACGAGTGTCAACCTCATAGTGGGGCTTGAGGAAATGTCATAGGACTATTAGGGTTCATCTTCTGGCAGTAATGAATGTCTGAATGTCAAATGGTATTCCATCTGGTACATATGGATCTATTTAGCATGATAAGTGAACATGTTGACCTCTTTGTTACGATAGATGAGAAGTTAAGGCTTCACTTAAGTCAGTAAGATTCATCCTCTGAGCACCAAGAATATCTCTACTGAATGTAAAGGCAGTCAATCCAATACAGTAGGTGTCAAGACGTCTCACTAAAAAATAAAAATGTGATTCTCATGTAGGTGCAAGACGAAAAATCAGGGTACCATTTAAATGTAGGAAAGATTAATTGTCTTTACAACACATAAATATGTCTGGACAATTAATTGAGACACATTTTTTACGACCCAAGTGGTTGACCAACTGACATTGCTATTCCAAGTTACACAACAGCTATGAATCTTGTTTCTTTCAACTTCTTCTACAAAGTGTCCTTATGTCTTCTTCTTTTCTCTTAATTTTTTTAGAGCCCGCCCCAACTTAACAATGGGCCCCATTCCCCTGTGTGTGCTGCTCCCAGTGACGGTGCTGGCTGTGGTGCTGGCTGTAGCTGCTGAGGAGAATGCAGTTGACGACGAGTATACCTGGCCACAGTGGAAGGTGCCTCTGGTAAGGCAAAGACACACTGTCCCTCTAAGCAGTCCAAACTTTTCAGCGCATCCTCAGGCGCAGCTGAGTGGGACCTGTGGGATCGAGTGTCAACGTCGCCTTCCTGCCTCCTCTCTGGATGACCTGGAGCAGTTCCTGTCCTACGAGACGGTCTATGAGAATGGTACGCGCACGTTTACCTCAGTTTCTGTGCAGGGCCTGAATGAGGTTGCTTCCTTGTCCCAAAACGTCTCATCTAGATCCCGGCAAAAACGCGAGGTGTACGGCACTGATACCCGCTTCACCATCTCTGATAAGCAGTTCTCCACCAAATATCCCTTCTCCACCTCTGTGAAGATCTCCACAGGATGTTCTGGGGTTCTTGTGTCGCCTAAACATGTTCTGACTGCTGCCCACTGCATCCATGACGGGAAGGACTATCTAGATGGGGTGCAGAAGCTGCGAGTCGGTATTCTAAAGGAGAAGTCCAGACGAGGGAAGGGAGGCAAAGGTAGAGGAGGGCGGGGAAAGGGCAAAAGGAGAAAGGGAGACAAAGATGAAGAGGAAGCGCAACAGAAGGAAGGGGACGATGGTAAAGGAGACCGTAAAGGAAAAGGGAAAGGAAGAAAGAGCCGCAGTCGACGAAGTGCAGAATCAGGGAAACCTTCCTTCAGGTGGACGGGGGTCAAGAAGACCCAGGTGCCTAAGGGCTGGTTCAAAGGTGTGTCTGAAGGACTGACTGCAGATTATGACTATGCTGTTTTGGAGCTGAAGAAAGCATCTAAAGTCAAGTACATGGATCTGGGAGTTATCCCCTCTGTGAAGAAGCTTCCTGCTGGGAGGATCCACTTCTCTGGCTTCGATGATGACCGTCCTGGAAACCTGGTGTACCGATTCTGCTCCGTCTCTGATGAGTCAAAGGATTTGTTGTACCAATACTGCGATGCCAAACCGGGCTCCAGTGGCTCCGGAATCTACATCCGTCTCAAAGAGCCAGGCAAGAAGAAGTGGACGAGGAAGATCATCGGGGTTTTCTCTGGGCACCAGTGGGTCGATGTTAACGGGAACGGGATGCAGCAGGATTACAACGTGGCGGTCAGGATAACACCCCTCAAATATGCCCAGATCTGCTACTGGATCCATGGGGACTCAAGTCTGTGCAAGGTAGCTTAGAAAAACACAGGATCCCCCCTGGACCACCAACCCTCTCCCATTCCACCTCTATACTAAAGGCTCGCCACTCTCCAACCAGGGGCCCAGACGACTGCCTCTCCCAATCCTGCCTCCCTTTTACCTCCTGTGCCTCCCAGTGACTCCTGTTACACAGATCTAAGATCACACACACAACCCACATTCAGCCATACAGACTCAGTGTTGACAACAACAGGAAATTGTCTTCGTCAAGAGAACTGTGGCTGGTCAGCTTTTCTAATTTATTTGCTAAGAAAATGGAGAAAAAAATATGTATTATGTGTATTTTGCTGTTTTGCTCTTCTATTTGGATTGTTTTGTTCTAGGATTTGACCTTTTTGGATACAATGTTGTAAAGGTTGTGTATTGACCCTGGTACATTTATTCTATTCAAACTAGGCTTTTTATGGAGAACATTTCCAAGTGTTCTCCACCACTGTAAAGAAGAGCGCGTGCATTGGCTTTGACAAAAGACCCAGAAGAAATTAATGTAACTTTTGTTTCGCAAATGAACTATATAAAGATAACATTTTTTATAAACATTTTAAATGAAGAAACTGGTGTTTTGCATTTTGTAGATCTAGAACTTTGTTTTTTTACAACTACCTTTAAAAAAAAAAGAAAAAAAAAGATTGATGTCTGTCTGAATAGAGAAAGGGTCATTATGGATCCTGGATAGATTTATTATCTGATTAGTGAATCACACCATCTTTTCTCTGTTGTCACAACACAGTGAAATGGGGTTTCATTGTTGTGCACATAATTATACCGGTGCTTATCCAGAAAACGTGGTGCTAATTTATGAAACTGTAAACTCTATTGGGGGGGCGGGGGTGGGGATTTCTCAGAATATATTTTGATAGCCTAGTGCAGTTACTATGTATTTTATGTGAGGCTACATATGTGGGTTTTGTTAAGATGGGAATGAACCATGTAATGATATACTTGAGCTGTTGATATTTCTCTAATTCTATGGGTTAATAAGATTACAAAGGCAATGTTGCTATATAATAACAAATGAAATCTGGGATGTGATGTTTTTTACTTTTTTGTTGTTTCTGTCCACAAATAATTTGTATCCTTTTGAATACCAAACACCTGATATTAATGATGCGGATTAATGACTACCAACCATTAAATCAAGATTACTACTTGTGTGTGTGTTTGTGATGATCCTCAATACGAAAGATCAGATTAATATTTTTGTGGAATGGGAAAACTGTCGCTCACCGTGATGAACTCAAAGGAATCACCCCACTGTAGTTCCCCCGGCTTTTAGCCACTTTACTAATCTGGTAATGTTGATGTGGTGGGATGTATATTCATGAAATAGTCCTTTAATCTGACCTTTCTCTATTTTACATTATATGGAATAAATAAATCCTTCATGGGCAGTTCAATCCATCATTGAATTTATTGCACCTCAAAAGGCTTACATGCACTGGGGTGGGCCATAGTAAATAAAATAAATGTACAACTGAACAAAAATACAATTTCATGAAAAATGTTAATCTTCCGTTATTTTCTCTGAATCATATCAGATGCTCACAACCAATTGCTTATTCGTCCACTGAAAAGACAACACACAGAGTAAGCATTACATCGGACTGGTTTACAGCTGTCCATATCAACTACATTGTAAGAGGGTAAAAGGAAAGAGGGGCTTGTTTTATGATACTAATGGCTGAACAGATCTGTAGATTTCCACATCACGCTTGTGTTGTGACTAACACTATCAACTGTTTTAATTGAAAATGGGCCAACGGTCAGAAGTGATTGAATAAAACAACTTGGACGTTAATAATGTTCAGTCTAATTTTTGCAAATTCTAGAAGATTGTGACATTATTGAACGCCGTTTTCAAACACGTCAGGTGTAAGTTTGTTCATTCATCACATCTGTTAGGTCCAAAAGCCAATTTGGTGAGAAACAATGACTGTAAACAGAACTTTGATTCGAAAGAAAATCCTCACGGTTCCAGAGTTGGGTATGGCATTGGATCATCTTACATTAAATACAACAATAATCATACTGATCTGGTCATAGTTATAATGAAAGCACCGGCAACAGATATATCCAGATAGGTAGTGTCAAACCGCAGGAAAAGATTGTAGTTATTTGAGTCTGTGACGAAGTACTAAAGCATTTTCTCTGAAAGTAAATTGTAAGATATGTTCATTAATAGTAATGCAAGAACAATATGTTGTATGGAGAATTATTCTAACAGAAACAGATCATATAAATAACATTAGACAAGAAGACAAATAAATAAACATAGAAAAATAAGCCACGAGTAAAAAAAACGAAACCCACAGAAAGGATCACTTGGTCTGGTATGATTCAGAAGCCCATATAAGTTGTCTTAATATACAGTATATTAATCATATAGAGGTATTTGTTTCCAAATACTTTCAAAAGATGACAGGAAATATAAGGTTACTCACACGACTTACAATTTCATGTCAGAATCACATTTATATTTCTCTTCAACAGACGTACAGAATAGAGACGTAATCCTCGCCAGAGAGATCTATGTACATCAGCGAGGAATTTTCTGTAAACAACACACAACATGTTTCTCCGAAAAATCTATCGGGGCTTTGTTCGTCACTCTCATCCAATCAGAGGGGGACAAAGAAGAGCTCCTCCCCCTTTATAATGAGGCTGGGACACATATGGGGTGGTGGGAGGGGCTTAGGACACCAAAGCACATCCAGCATTCAACTCAACACCAGAAAGAAATTCAAACACATACGCCTTCACTTTCTTTCACTCACTTTTGTGGACTTTTTTTTGTCAGGGTTTTGAGTGATTTTGTTTAGACAAAAGATAAGAACATCTACATAATCACACGCTTGTATTTTTTTTCTCATATATATATATAATCAGCTATGGTTCACTTTCACAGTTTGTGCTACAACATCACACAGGAAAAGGGTGGGGTGGAGATGGTTGGGGTGGAGAAAAGAGGCTCTTATAAGGTTGAGTAGCTGAACATCCTGAGATGTTGACAGACACCAGGTAAAAGTTGAGAGGGCCCTGCTCCAGAGAAGAAAGCAGCTTGAAGAAAGGAAACGGAGAAGCAGGTGTCAGGTCAAAAGTGAAAATATACATATAGACAATCATTTCATTTTTTAAATTTTTTTCTACGAATACTGATGCTGTGTTTACATGACTTTAGATGCATGCATATCAAAATGGTGCCAAAATACATATTATTACTTTTACCTGCAGAGCTATTTATCAATCTAAAATGTCCTGGTTTGATTTGCCTTCTCTCAAATAAAATGGAACTAAATAGCACACTACATGGCACACAAAATATCAAACTACACCAGATAACTGTTTCAGCGCACAGAAGCAATCATGTATCCCTTCATGGCAAAAGGCTTGTGCTGCATAATGCTAGCTCACCTGAGCTAGCTAAGGTTAAAGCCCATCGAGCTGTCACAAGCACGCATGCTTCCCACTGTGCAGTGATCTGGTAAAGTAAATAGTCCCAAAGTGAAATTGCTCACAAGGTCTGATGATTATCTTGAGTGACCAGGCCATGACCTCTGGGAAGCTGTTTTTAAAATTTATTTTTGTCACTTTAAGGATCTGAAGCCGAGAGCCATCTTATTCCATTATACATACATGTAGCAACTCACTGTCGCTTTTAAAAGCATTGATTAGTAACCAATGATCCATTAAAAGAGACTACTTTAAATATTCCTCTTAAGAGCTAAGTGTGTAATAAGGGGCATTTTGCAAAAAGTCACTGAACTTAATTTTTACGTAATTGAAAAAGACGCCAGTTGGAACGGCTAAACCCAACCATATGCTTTTTAGTTTTTTATTAGGGAACTCTTACTTATTCACTTTTACATATTATCTGTTATTTGTGGATAAGCCAATCCCAAAAAAGAAATCACCAAAGTTTTTTGATAAATGTTTAACGATTTAATGAAGTTGTCAGCGACTATACTCTATATAGGCCTACTATATGTACAGTTACATATATAGTGCATACCTGGGGTGTTATAAGAAGTCTTTGAGGTCGAGATCTGCCAAAGGGTCCTTGGGCTTTTTGGGACTCTGGCTTACAAGTGGAATCTGAGAAAAAGTCACAAAATTAAATTGGTGGATCTTTTAACAATACAATTAATATTCCTCACACAGACTATAAATTGTTAGATTATTCCAAAATCATAATGCTTTTAAAGTATGTGTAGACACACCAGGGGATTTACTATGTTCTTACCGGTGCTCCTGGTGCAGCTCCCGCCCCCCCAGCATAGGGAGGTCTCATCATAGGCTGTCCCATCATAGGCTGCCCCATCATCGGCTGCATCATGGGAGCGCCAGGCCCTCCTGCAGGAGCCTAATAACACAGGGATTACAAATGAGAGATTTTTTGAAGGCAATGTCAGTGAATCATCTGCCTTCACAAAGGTTTCTATGGTTTATACAGTAAGGCTGTTTTAAAAGCTGATGTCACAGTGACATCCACAGACTTTGTTATGCATGATTTAAAGCTCACCATGCCAAAGCCAGGCTGTGCGCTCATTGGTGGGACCATGGAGGCTCCTGGAGCCCCGGGACCTCCGGGGGCGGTACCTCCCTACAGTGACAGGACAAAGAGGGTACATCAGCAAAACTGCCTTTGAGATGAAATGTGATGTCACAGTGAGGGACACGGTGTACATGTAGATCTTACCATGGGGGCTCCTGGTGTACCCCAGCTTGTGGGAGCTACATGTGGCATCCAGTTGGCTCCTCCTGTCAGCTTCTTCTCACTCTGTGGGTCCCTAAAGGAGATCAGGGTACACTTCAGGCTTACTGTGCTATTGATCCCATTATACTGCTGATGCTTGGAGTGCTGCATTTATAACATGCATATATTTAAATACACACTTACTTCTTCTTTACTCCAAGGTCTGGACAGAAGAAGAAAAAAAGGACAGGTTAGATCTACAAACACAAATGATGAATTTACAGAAAAAAATGGTTATAAGTAGCTGTCTACCTCCAATAAGGTTGGCCAATGAGGAGTCCAGGTCTCCTCCAACAGTTTTAGAAAGAGGGGGGGCGGCTGCAATGCCTCCCATTGCAACTGGAGTTCCCATGCTTCCTGCTGTGCTTCCAGCAGTGCTCCCCCCGGTGCTCTGGGGCGTAATGGCGGGCATCAGCAAGTCGCCTAATCCACCAAACACTTGAGGAGAGGGTGGGAATGGCAGGACATCAGAGAAACAACACGGACTACACATCTTCAAACCTCCAATCTGTTTTTTAACACGGGTAGATGGGAGACCAGGTAGTATGGTAAGGAGTCAGCCCAGCTGTGACAGCATCAGTAGTCAGCTGTGCATCACATGCACAATGTAGGACTGTACTGTAAATATATCACATATCAGGAAGTTAAACACTGACTTGAAATAAACTACTGGTTTTGAACCAGGTGTCATTAAGACCAAAATAGTTTACAGGTTTTCATTCAAACTAACCTGTAGAGAAGCATTGTGTTGATTGAGGGTTTATCCATAACCCCATTCAGCTAACTACTTACACAATTAATTTATGCTAATTATTAAATTACACAATACATTTAGCTAACCATTTCAATGGTTTATCACAGGTTTTAGCTAACTTTTTGACCATTTATGCACTCTTTTTAGATACATATTTAATATGTTCCTTTCATTTTAGCTAACTATTTGGTCAATTTAACCATTAAGCTAACTATTTCAAAAAGACAATATCTTCCTAATTATTTGCTAACCTTTTCATTAGTTTAATCATTACTTTTAGCTAACTTTGTCATCCATTTACTTTTTATTTAGCTAACGATTTCAGCTAGGCTATCTAAGCTAGACCTTACTTAAGCTAACTATTTAAATGATTATCCAATGCTTTTATCTAACCATTTCCACTGTTGAAATACATCGTTGTATGCTACATTTTGCTAAACCTTTAGCTTTGTTAACTATTTAAACATTACTTTCCCAACAATACATGCATTACTTTAAGCTAACTTACGAAAGGCAATTTCCCCTTACTATTAGCTAACGATCCATCAATTTAACCATTACTTTCAGCTTGCTTTTTCATCCTTTTACTTGTTTAGCTAATTATTTCAGCCAGGCTATGTAGGCTATCCATAAGTTTATCCAACTATTCCAACTGTTTAAATCCATTGTTTTAAGCAAAATGTTTGCTAAACTTTTGGCTATTTTAACTATTTAAACATGTATTTACCTATCATCTGTAGTCATCTTTCTATGTACCATAAGGGGTGAATAAAGGTTGTCAAAAGAATTAATCTTTGCCACTCAAAATAATAAAATATAACACCTGCAGACTCTACTGCAGACTCAGGCCTTGATGGCATGTGGTTATAAGAGACAAGAGACACTGCTCAAAGGGGAAATACAAAAGTAAGTCTTGTCTCATGCAGAAGACAGTCAGGGTAATTGTTACATGCAAAGATGCAGAAGAGGAGAATTGTCCAAACTGCACATGCTGCAATTCCCTGCCGGGTAGAACTCACCAATTACAGATTAGAAGAAGCAAGCAATGACCCAGAAGAGAAGAAAAGGTGTGGATACGGGGTGAAAGAGGAAATTAAATGAAGCAGAAGACAAAATGTGTGCAGCAGAAAGAACGAAAGATTGCAGAGTGGGTGGAGCAGAGAGTGAAGAATTTGTGAAAGTGTGAAAAGTACAATATAAGAGATTAAGACAAATAAAGAAAATTCCTTGCAAGATAGGCTGCAGCGCTGTGGAATGCTAAGCAGTCAGCAGAAACAAACGTTCTCCATAAGGAGGACAGTGAAAGCAGCACATGTCAAGGTGTCTTCATGCAGTAGCCTTCTCAGGCTCTCAGAAAGAGGGGATAAGTAGGTCATGGTTAAGGTACAGTAGCTCAGTTTCAATGACTCAAAACAGATTCATGTGCATCAAGCAGATAACCTGCTTGATGCAGGTTATCTGCTTGATGCACCAAAACACTCTTTATATTCTCAAATAAATGGATGTAAAAATGCTAAAGATTTCTGAAATGAAAAGAATGCAAATGAAAGCTTTACTTACTTGATGCGTCAAAGCCACCAGAGGGCACTGGTGTGGTGGTTGCTGCTAGTATCGGTACTGCAGCATGGGCAGGCGGTGTCGGAGACGTTAGGGAGCCAAGAGCATCAAAGCCCGACTCCAGGAGGTCGTTCTGCACCGGAACCGGAGCAGGAGCTGGAGCCAAGGCTGGAGCTAGAGCTGGGGCAGCAGTGGGAGCCAGGGTGAGGGACATCAGGCCTGAGGGGGAGAACAGACAGCAATCTTGCTGTGACATCATATGTAGTTCTGATTTCTGACTCACCCTAATTCCACGAGGAACACACATTTGATGTGATTACTGACACAACAGATGGCACACGAGACATCTTGGAAGACAAATTCAATTTCGGTTATCCCAGTGGGGAAAGTGAATCAGTGCAGCAGCACATAGCAACCGGTTGATTTTATACTCTAGAATCTAGATAATGTTTGGTCTATACAATTTAAGACATTAAAAAAAAAAGCCAATTCCAGTATTTAAAAGTCCATGGTGATACATACGGGACAAGTGTCACATATAGCACATCACAATCACATAAACAAGTTAACATAAACGGGGGGAAACATCCTTGATCATTACATATAACACACACGCCATGTCCAACATAGACTAGTGTGTACAGGTGTAATTATCAGTGAACCATGTTTTTAAGTGAGCTGTATCGTATATATGTATATATGGATTCATAAATAATCCATAATCAAAATAGTTACATTAATTAATTGATCTCTAGATCATTTTAAAAACAATTTGTATAAAGAAATAGCAAACATTTTAAATCATAAAGAGCATGCATCTCTATCAGTGATGGCAAGTATCTAAACATGCTATAGTTCCTAAACACATACATTTTCTTTAATCCTTACTATGAGATACTCTTTTTTTTTAACATATCTTTATTATAAATAGTGAATAGATTAAATATACTTTTTGTGTAATGGTTGTGTTTGGAAATGAGTTAGTAAATGTATGGATACAAGAGTAGTGTGCATATAATGGATATAGTTTTGCTGTTTAAAGTAACAAAGGGGAATAATTGATATACACATGGTCATTTTTAAGTATTCCTTAAGGAATACAAATAACTTTTTCTGATACACTTATTCTTTAACTATTGGCAAAACAGCAGCAACAGAAATGAGATGAGAATTGTCTATGATATCATTGTGGCCAGACGTTTATCAGACAGTTCCACTTTGGAACCGCTGTATTGTCAAATTAAACTAGTCCTGCCAAGTCTGTGTCATTATCAATTTGACGAATGCATCTCCATCATTACTTCCTGCATAATTATTCAATCAACTAAAATATTTCTGTGAGCCTTTTGCCAGCATAAAAACTTTTAATAAGAAATGTCATCAAAATGTGCTGGTCCATTCAGCCTGTCTAATTACACTGTGATTTACATCAAAATGCTTTGATACTGTAGGACCAAAACATGTGAGAGAAAGATAAGACTCACCTCCCAGCAGATCATCTCCAGGCCCTCCAGGAGCAGAGCTCTTCGTCTCGTCCACGGGACTGGCAAAGGAGTCTGCAAGGCATCCAGTTATCATTGCAGCATGAAGGGCAGAAAGGGGGTAGAGGTCAGCCCCGAACCACATACTGGGACACAATTAGTGGTAGGGGACAAGATGTTCATAATGCAATGCTTTAACTGATTCAAAAGTTGGCAGGAGTGCAGCAGACAAAAATCTTCCATCCATCTCTAATTCCGTCCAATAAATCGACATTGTTTCTATACATTTTTTCAGTGCAGCAAAAAAGCACTGTTTGCAACAGCAACATTTTCAGCTCTTCATAAAGTTCACTTGAAACATCCAATAGTTGTACTGGTAAAAACACTCAAGACCTTACTGTAACAACTGCAGATGATAATAAAATACCCAGAAGAGATACATAAGATTACACAAATGCAAGTTCAACCATTTGCATTCAGCATGTCGTGAGAGATATGTGTGTTCTGTGGTACAGTACCCAGAAGGTCAATGACAGGTGCTGGCTCTGCTTTGGGTGGAGAGGAGGCCTCTGGGCTAGAAGCTGCTGCAGGAGCAGGAGCAGAAGCAGGAGCTGAAGCAGAGGCTGAAGAAGGAGCAGAAGCAGCCTCAGAAGGTTCTGGGGATGAATATGAGTCTGAAGAGAGAGACGGCCAGAGACAGAAGCAGGAATAGATTAAATTACTCTCAATCACTACATTTATCAGTGACAGCTTTATTTCTAAGGGGAGAATGCTTTGCTCAGTATGCCTACTCTAAAAGCATAGCAGACATCGAGAGAAGAAGCAGGCTTCTGCATCTTAAGGGAACGTTTGGATTGTTTGATGTGGGATTGCATGAGGTACTTATCCAAAGTCCGTATTTTACCGCCCACAGTTTGAAAAAACTGAAAGGGGCAGAACTTAAAACGGTTTAAGCCACCTTGAAATAAATTAATATCAGTTCAAGTGTACGCTTTATTTAGGATATATTTACAGCTTTACCTTGCAGTTGGACAGCCCATTCTTACAGAAGCCATTATATTATTCTATGTTCCTCTTCAAGGCCACGAGACTCAATTGACAAAAACAGTTTCTGTAACTCACAGAACACATTGGTTGCTGGTCTTCTGCTGTCTTGATTTCAAAGTCTATTTGTGCCTGTTTGGTAAATGTATAATTATTTTTAATGTTGTCTGGTCTATTTGAAGAGAGCATAGATAGCAGCTTTAGTTATTCGTTGAAAAAGAACTGTCTCCCAGCAAGGTCAATTGGTGAAAATATTCTAAATATAGCCTATACCTTGGGCTTTTCTATTAAGTTGCTATAATAGGTTTTGCTTCTGCCCCACCGAAAGCAATACATTGCTAGAGATTCTGTGCTGGAAGTCCTGTCTGTTTCTCCAAACTGGGGGCTTGCCGACTATCATCTTCCGAAGGTAAGACAATGGATAGTACCTCAATGGATAATACCTCAAAACAGTCAAAGATATCCCTTAAACTGTGTATCCACATCCTTGAAGCGTGCACCATTCGTAGCACAGAACTGTGTATGTGCGTGCATACACCAGCACCATGCAACAAAAACGTCATAACATGTGAAGCTGGCTGCACTCTTCATCAGAAAAAGGAAAACAGTGATGCAGTGTCAGCTTGACTTACCGGTCACAATGTCTCCAGAAAGAACCGGCTCGGGCAAAGGAGAGGGCCCGCGTGAAACAGCAGGAAGGTCTAATTTACCAGCGCAAGCGATATGCAGAATACGAGAAAGAAGAAAACCATAGAGGTCCGGAAGCAAAAGAAAATGTGTTAGCGTGGCAGGTAGAAAGACACAGCTAAAATAGAAAGCAGCCACAAGACAATCCAAGACTTGACACGTGGGTTACATGCAGTTCTCATACCACTATGGGGGACAAACCAAGACGTGTGGGGGAAAGTAAAACAGTCGACAGAGGAGTAGACGTATGGAAACCAGAAGAGATGAACAGGTTCCACATACAGACAAATGGGTATCAACTCCTGTACCTGCACCAAAAAGGTCTACGCTAGGAGTGGTAGCAGCTTTGGATTCTGTGGTAGGGCTTTGCTCAGGCATTGAATCAAACATATCTAAGAACAAGGACACACAATCAAATGTACATTCAGATTTCAAGTCCAGTGCATTCAGAGTGATGAGTTCAGAAGAGAGATGAGGGAAAGCAGATAGTTGGGTCATTAAACAGGGTAAGTTGCTGTGTAACAATGCAATGCAAAACGGAACAGTGCAAAGGTTAAAAGGGTATATTGCTCAGCATGAAGACTACGCTATTTTTATCATTGAATCTTGATGACATTCAATGCTTTTTGCTATCAAATAGCAGTTATTTTCCAAACTCCAATGCTCGTGCCAGCAGTTCTTTGAGGCTATACTTTTGAGGTATAGCTGTGATTTGAGCTTCATGTTAGCATAAGCCTGCTAACATGCTCATGAGGACTGAGCTAAAATGCTGATATGAATAGACTAGTCAGCAGACTTTAGCCCGTTAGCATTGCTAACATTTGCTAACTAGTACTTAACAAAACTGCCAATTGTTGCTGCCTTACATTGCTATATTTTGAACCATGCCACGAGCTCAGCTACAAACTTCAATAGCTCTTTTTTTTATCATGGGGTAACGTATTTCTATCCATTTAACCATTATCTATGCACACTTTTTCTGAATTGAAAGATATCGATAGAATATACAATTTCTGTCATTGAGCAATATTCCCTTTTAACTAAAGTGCATACGCTACAATAAAGCATTCTCAGGTAACAGTTTCTAAAATACAAGCATGAGAAGAAAACAATTTTCTTCCCGGAGTCTGTTTTTTTAGTATTAGGTTCATATAATCAAAACAAATTGAGCAACCTCTGTTAATAAAAAAAAGGTAATTATTAGTTATTCTCCAAAGATGTCAAGTTAGCCATTTTGGTCCCCAACAATGACCGTTTATTTTACAATTGGCTTAATTTTTGATAGATTTTGTATTATGTAAAAGCTGCAGAGGAGGTCAATATGCTTGATTAACTTGACTAAATGATCTGTATCTAAAGGGAATGCATCATGGAAAATAGAACAAACAATCTGGAATGTAGGGACTGGCCAGGTTATTATCATCGCCACTACTGTCATCATCACTAACAAGGGCAACACAGTCATCATCATTATCAAAGCAAATATCATCATCGTCACAATGCAGGGCAATGCAGTGAGAGGCATAATGAGAGCGAGAAGACTTTACCACCAAAGATATCTAGAGTCGGAGCGGCTGCAGACTCTGTGGTGGTGGTGTCGGAAGAAAGGGTGGGGGTAGCAGGGGCAGCGATGGGGACGACGATGGGGACGACGATGGGGACGACGATGGGGACGACGATGGTCGGCGCCTCACTAGAGGAGGGAGTGATGATGGCCCCCTTTTCAGTGGGCCTCATGGCGAACAGGTCCATCTCTGGAGCAATGTCTGCACTCCCCTCTGTCGTAGCGAAGGGGTCTTCAGGAAGAGCAGCAAGGCGGTGGTGATGATTAGTTAGGAGAGGGTTATGATTAGAGAAGAAGGGAAGGGTGTGGTGAAGTGGATGAGGAAGGGGAAGGAGGGATTTGTTAAAGCAACAAACACCGTAAAAAGCATGTTTGTGAGGCTTCTGAAGCTTTAAATCCCAGTTAGGTACAAAGGAAGTCAATCAATAACACGGTCACTCAATAACCTCAATTGAGAATGGCTTGCATCCATTAAATAATAAGACAGTGGGGAACATTTCTTCAGTAAATAATAATGGACTACAACTTCTGGTCGACTGGCCCACAGCCCAATTAGTTTAGTTAATAATGAGAACACCCAATTCAGTGTCCCTGGTTCATTGTTATTATCTCCATTAGAAGATAATGAGATTGGTCCTGTGTGTATCTATGTGTCTATCCACAGCTCCTCTTGCATACCGCTGGACCCATCAGCATCATATTTGTTATGATCATGTATGAAAGTTTTCCATTCAGAGAAAGCAAAGCATTGACTGCAATAACTATTAAACTACTGGCAGAATTCCATGCAACTTGGTTGGTTAGTGTAGCATGGGCCAATGAATAACCCTTTATTTTGGTGATGCAAATCCAGCAAAAAAAACAAAAACTTTTCTCATCTTAACATTGCGAGTTATAACATTTGCATGGTCCAAAAGCTATTTGCAAGAAAAACTGCGTGGGAATGTCATAGATTTCTCATTGTCCTGTTCATATGCAAGGCCAGAGAGAGAGACTTAATTAAGTTATAAAAAAGGTAAGAAAAGCTTGACAATGACTAATCACCAGGTAGTATCAGGGGTAAGGTTTACCAAAGAAAATTGTCTTCATTGTTAGAAAAAAAATGGCTAATAGCTGCACTGTGCTTTTTACTGCACTGGGTGAATATTAAGAGGAAAAGTGTAGTCGAGATGAGGGAGGAGAGGGTTCATGGCTGGGGCATTAGAGCAGGATTTGGGGTGAGACAGTAGGTTCTACTGTCTCATATGTAAGCAGAAGCAGCTTTGATATAATAAAAGCAACAGCTTTCCCACACACACACACAGACATATAGAGGCTGTTGAGTCACCCACCAGATCCACCAAAAGCATCAGCAGCGGGGCCCGCGGCCACAGCAGCAGGACCGTCTCCTGGGGAGGGTGCAAACGCATCTAGGGTATAGCAGACGAAAAACAGCCAGACCGCAAACGAAACAAACATAACACCCGACAGACACATGGATGTAAAGGACAAAAGATGAGTCAACAGATGGAATGGACAGAAAACAAAAATGAAAGGTCAGCATTAGGATAAAAAGCAGAGAATACAAGAAATATGCAGCCCCGTAATTGCAGGGAATAATCTGATGGTAGCATCAGTCTCTTGGTGAGTTTTGAAGGGCTGCATAATGCTGCATTCAGTGAGTGCACCACCTGTGCAGGTTTGTGAAATGAGGCAAGTTGTCACAAGTTACTGGTACTATGTGACAAGAGGGGGAAATGTCAAGGTCAAGGACGAAAGAGGCTTTCTTTGAAAAAAGAAAACCTCAATTAGCTCTTTTCAGCAGACACTTCTCTGATTAAATAAATCCAGCCATCATCTTGACATATGTGTGAAACTGTTAGTATGTCATTGGGGGGAGAATCATTAAGGGTGATGGACAAATAAACCAAAGGGCAATAGATCACCAAAATACGAGTCATAACAGAAGATTAATTACGATGCTGTGGGTTAATTAAGGTGAGTTTATGAGTCTCTGATGAAACACATTCATGTCCACTCTAATAATAAGTGTTTTGTAGCAATTGTGCAGCCTTAAGTAAACCCAGAGAAAAGCAAGTAATCCACAAAACTGGCTCATATTGTTGTGATGTGCCACGAATGATTAACATTGTTGCTCTGTGCTCAATGCAAAACAGAGTGTGTGAATGCTTGACGTTAGTACGTTAGCATGTTAGCACGTGAGTGTACATGGTTTTATTCAAAGCTGAATGCTAAACATTAGAAAACATGATATAAAACTATTACTTTTGAGTCACAGCACTATTCATTTTTTGAACAGTATATAGGGTACCCGGCTCAGAAGGTCATTTGAAAGAAACAACAGAGTTGTGATGAAGACATTTCCAGAATCCTCAAAGACCGGATGAAAACGTATTCCACTGCTGAATTAGGAAAGGTGCACCTCTTTTGGTCTTTCCAGTTTTTCATATTAGTCATACAAAATAAAGCATTATACTACACTTATATATTATATTATATTATACTACACCTTTCTTTTGCAATAGGGGGGAATACTTATGTCCTATACAGTTGCAACTTATCAAAACAAATGTATACAGATAGTAAGAAGCGTCACTAAGGTTTCTGGAAATACCTTCAATGAGCAGTTTGTGTTTTCTTGAACAGCCCTTTACATTTTTCAAAAATATGTAATTTTACTTTTTATAAAATTATATATTATCTATTTTGTATCTGATGTTTCGCTATGAACTCAAATGTAATGGCAATACTTGAGTGTCACAATCAGGGGCTATGATGCCATCTTTAATGCCATAAAGTACATTTCCATACTTGATTGCATTGCAGAAACAAATTGCATGAGATTCTCCTCATTTCTAGATATCACACAAAGTATGCATACATCACATTAACGTATAATCTGATGTACAACAGCCTGTAGACTTTGTATGGTTTTTGATGAAGTCATTTACTTGTTTAAATGCAAAATATAGTGAGTACTAATACAATCCCATTGCTTTCCCTACGTTTTTTACAAAGTAATCAGCAAAATACTCAAATAAAAAGGGGTTTGGTGTAGATAAGCTGGCAGGCCTACAGTATATCCCCGACCCAGACTGACCTCCGAAAAAGTCCATCTCTACGGCTGTGGTGGGAGCTGAAGCTGGCAGTGAGGCGGGGGCCGGGACGGCTGCAGCAGCAGCAGCGGCAAGAGTAGCTGCAGCGGAGGGAGGTGCGGGTCTTACAGGAGCAGCAGCTACTGCAACAGCCACTTCAGCTGACTCTTCCTCCTCTAGGAGAGCTTCAGAGGCTTCATCAGCGGCAGCCAGAGTTGCTATTTGTATAAACCCCATCAGTCACAATCCCCCAGAAGAGAGGAATAGGAGAAAAAAGATAGAAGGAAGACGGCAGTGTCAGAGAGACTGAAAAGTGTAAACAAACACATGCTTAGCAGGCGCTAAATGTGAAAATAGTTTGACAAAAGGTGAATTGAGAAATTCAGTTAGAAAGCCAAGTGGAGAAAAATGAAATGCCTGCAGGCCTTTATAGAATAAGATCAACAGAGTACTCACCCTCAGCCAAGAGATCTGTACAACAGACAGACAGAAACACAGGTGAGAGGATGATTGGTTTGTATGAAATTCTGAAATGTTTGTATTTGCAAGCTGCCAACACTATAGAGAAGAAGCCAGATAAAAAGCAGTCATGAGCCAATAGTAAGTTCCAATAAGGCTAAAAGCTCCTTTATGTAATTTAGAGAACAGTTGGACTACGGCCATGTTCAGGGTTGGGATGTTGGGATAAACGGAGGGCATGCCAAAGAGCAACGTCAGGTTTGAAATGGGAAATGCTCTGTAATTTATACCACATTGTTCAAAAAAAGCATCAACAAGGGTACGGGTACCACTTCTTTAATGTACTATAGGGAATCATTATAAAAGACCACTGCTGTTTTAGTTAATATACGAAATATGTATACATTTGCTATTACTGCCATCATTTTTTCAAATCAGACAATAGATTTTTGTATTGATTTCCCCTTCCCCTGCCAGCAATTATTTTCCATTACTTTTACTGTAATATTCAAATTACTTGACAGGGACCTCAACTCACTTTATGATTTGAATTGTCCTAATAAAACAAGTCTGTATTTGAAGAGATAACAAATCCAAACATCAGCATGGTTAGCTTGCCTTTGATGGAATTCATGTATATTAGGGAGGCGTGTGGTGCAGTGGGTTGTCCGTTGGTGTTCGGATTAGGGGGTCACATGTTCAAACCCCACTGCAGTCAGCATGTCGTTGTGTCCCTGGGACACTTCACCCCAAATTGCTCCTGTGGGGATTGCCCACAGTATTGAGTATGTAAGTCGCTTTGGATAAAAGCGTCTAACAAGTGACATGTAATGTAATGTAATATTAAAAAAGGTTCTCTGTAAATAAGTTTAGGCCAAAGAACATCTCATCAAAAACAATGCTAGACTTACTGTTTGTTTATTAGCTCTGAACTAGGAAAAGCTGAAACAGTACCTAGCTTAGTACCTAGAGTTGTATTTAAGCTTTCATTTGAGTCCTAGCAGCATCTTGTTAGCTCAATATATTTTGATGTAGGGTGACAGGTTACATTAGGTTTAATACTTCCAGTGTAGTAACATCATCTACTCACTGCATCGAATGGTAAAGTTAAAACAGTGTTTTCAACCAAATTGTGGGTTAGCAATTAGTTAGCTAGCTACACCTGCTAAAATCTGCTAGCAAGAGTTGTCATGCAAAAAAATTGAAATGAGAAGTTGAAATCCAGGACCCATTGGTAATTATTAAGAATTCCATAGGGTAAACCTACCACACAATGATGTTTAAAGAGAACTGCAAACAGGGAAAGCGTTGGGCTATGATTTGAATTTGACCAATTTAAGAAAGAAACATCTGGAAATAATTGGTATATAAGTATATCAGCTTCTTAGAATGAACAATTAGATAGCCCTCATGGTAATAATTGTGTCATTTAAATTGTAAAATTCACTATTGGCCGATTTAACCGAGACTGTGCGGCCGGGAGGCGGGGTTAAAGGAAATGCTAGTGCACTAAGCGGAAAATCCAAGCGCGGCTATTCTCACCTCCCCATCCAGTCATGGAGGAAGTGGCTCCCTTTGTTGAGGAGGAGGCCATTGGGTCGAGATCCAACAAGAAGCAATCAAGATCACTATCACAGAAAAAGAGAGAGGGGGTTGAGAGACCTGTTTCTAATGCAATACGGACAGCTCAGCTCAAACACTTTGGAACATTGTTGAGTGACTCTTACTTGCTGGTAGTAATGGTGGTTGGGGCTGGAGGGGTGGGGGTGATAGTGGGTGGAGGAGGTTTGACAGGAGGCCCGGGGCGAGCAGGAGGGCCCCCTCCAGGAGTTGGAGCGTTGCGCCTGGCTGGAGCAACAGCAGCAGCAGCGGCGGGGGGCACAGGGGGCACGCTGTTGTTGGCTGGAGCCTCCTGCAGCAAAAAAACACATCCCCCCTGTTAACATGAAACCTGACGCTGTTATATAAGCTGATGTGATTCAGCAGCTTTTCAACACATGAATTCCCAATAAATCACTACTTGTTCGTAGTAAACTGTGAAGGGTAAAGGTACAAGTCAAATTAAGCATTTATAAATGTTGTAGTTGTATACACAAGTGCTATAAAGACTATCATTATTAACATTACATAATGATTATAATGGAATATAGCTTACCTTGGTGGGCGATCTGCAAAAACAATGAAAGCAAATGAGTTAAAGAGTTTCCTGATGTACATGCTGAAACATAAAAGCTGTTACGGAGATGGGAGGCAGCAAAGTGACATTTTAAGTGTTACTTTGGTGTTGTTTTTAGGCAGGCAACATCTCAACACAATTCCATTTAGTACACGATTGTAATTAAAAGGGCCCACGCTGCACTGCTGAGTGATGGTCCACTTTGGCAAAGCTTTGTTTTCCCACATTACTGACAGGAAGTAATGTTTCTGAAAGGCATGCCTGTTAAAGCTTTGTTGCAGTCAGGGACGATTGTCACATGATAACAAAGATGATTATGTTATAGTGACATGAGTTCAAAGGGAAGACTTCCCCTTGTACAGTATGTCAACGACAATAATGATGGAAATAATATTAGGTCACAAACTGCTTCTTAAACACAACACAAATGCCGACTCAGATGTAATTTCTTCAGAATGACTCAAACTATAAATTATATTTAGGTCATTTCCCATTGACACAGAATACTTACTTATCCTCTCTGAGTTAAGCAAAGACAGAGGGAAGTGCATGTTAGAGAAGTAACAGGAAATAGTAAGGTAACCTATGATGTAACACTGATCACACAGGCCAAAGAGAAGGAGCTAAATCACTGTAATAGCACATCCAGCTATCTAGAGCCCAAATCACTACAGACATAGCTTTTAGCAATCCAAGAAGCATTCAACTGTATAATTACAGGATTATTAAAGCTTCAGATCCATGTTGCAAACGATTGAAAAAGTAAACAGCTTGCAGCTATATTGAACTACTTACGGCTTCTTTCCCTCCAGTGTGTCGAGGTGGGTCTCCAGGGACTCCAGAAGACTATGTGGGGCCTGTAGAATAATAAAGAGAGTGATACAACCGGGACTTTCACATTATAAAGACTTATGGTCAGGGAAGGCTTACAAAATGATTTTACTCCACAATAGAACACGGTGGATCACACTGGCTCAGAACGTATGAGTAACTGACTGATTCTGAGACGATGCTTCCTCTTTGAGTAAGAGTCTTTATATTAAAAAACTATTGAAAAAGATACCTGGAATCCTATTTTCAAGCCAGGCAAAGGGGGGTAATATTCAAAGAAAAATGTGGAATTATGGAGATACATTTACGAGAATATATTTTCTTAGATTTAAGTCATAGTAACATCTTTCTTGAAACACAAATGACAAATGACAGACATTGTAATCTCAAACTCTATGAATTATTCATCTTTGAACTTCAGTCTCTCACTGGGTTCAACGCTGATACATTGCTTTTTCCACACGTAAATTGGTGTATGAATCTTAAATTACGATTTTTTATTACAATGTGAATCGAGTGGCCTGTGTTCGTCGTCCATAACATACGCCTGCCCATACCATAACCCCACCACCACCATGGGCCACTCGATTCACAACATTACCCTAACCCTAACCCTACCCCTCACACCAGATACTGACTGGTTTTCGGACCCCCCCAGACCCCCCCAATAAAGCAAAAATGCACGTTTCAGAGTGGCCTTTTATTGTGGCCAGCCTAAGGCACACCTGTGCAATAATCATGCTGTCTAATCAGCATCTTGATATGCCACACCTGTGAGGTGGGATGGATTATCTCTGCAAAGGAGAAGTGCTCACTATCACAGATTTTTTCAGATTTGTGAACAATATTTGAGAGAAATGGTTATTTTGTTTATATAGAAAATGTTTTAGATCTTTGAGTTCATCTCATGAAAAATGGGAGCAAAAAGTGTTGCGTTTATATTTGTGTTCAGTGTATCTAGTCAAACTGGTTTGCTGTGTGATGGCTATCCATATTTGTCCAGAACCAACCAAATGTGTCGTAGCATTGAGTTTCCAAAATTCATTAGGGTTATTAAACTGGATACAACAAACAACAACCTAGAAACAATTACCAATAAAACAGCAACAGAACCAAGGGTTCATTGCAATGCTAATAGAGATCAATGTTCCAGCCAGCCACGATGCAGAGCTGCATGCTCATTCGGGGCAAAAAGAGACATTATCACCTCCCAACATGCAGTTAAAAGGATGGTTCAATATCCAACAGGCCTATTGACAGAGGTCAAAGCTAAATCCGCCAATACAATCAGTCACTAATTCACTTTTCCTTGATTCCCTGCTCCATTTGCTGGATTTATCGATGCAAAGCTGTCTAGTCTATTATTCCTAAAACTTAAAAGGACCAACAAGGCAAAGAGGCTGATCATATTTAGTCTTGGCACTAAGAGGGAACATTTATCATCCAGAGACTTTCATTTGTCTGTTCCTAACACGCAAAAAAATACTTTCTGCAGGCAAAAAAAGACACAACAGCTCTATAACAAGAGACATACAGTATAGGAGAAGTTACCATCCGTAGAAGATGCCAATATAAAAGTTGCTGAACCATATCCTAGTGGATGTGACAGCTGGCCTTCTGGCACTATGTTGGAAATATGATGTGATATGATAGACTCTGTCACCTTTGTCTGTGTCTGTGTTTCTGTATCTACTCTCTATTCTAAAAACAGAGTGTGATGACATAACAACACTTCAGATGGTGATATTATTCTGACTTGTTTGTCAGTAATACCTTCCGGGAGGGATAAGAACAGAAATCGGTGTTTAAAACTGAGATTTATCCACTACAGTGCGAGAGATCCAGGAGATTGATATAGTTTGCTCCACTGGACACATTAATCCAAATGTATCACCAGTATCTCATTTGGAAAGACCAGGCTTAAATAAAATGAGATGGGTTTTGAAGAAGGATGTCATCCTGTCCTGATAATTTATTGCAAAATGTTTCTTGGCAAACACTGGTGGACATAGGATGGTAAGAAAAATGGTGGTGTCATTCAAAAACCGTCACTGACATTTAGCACCATTTTGTAAAATGCTTGTAAGTCTACCCTAAAGAATCAGAACCAGTGTTTCCCTAGGTTTACTGCTTTGGGGGGGTGCTGCCAGGGCGGGATGAGGGTGTTTAATCACTGCAGCGTTTAGCTGAAATGTTTCTTGGCAAACACTGGTGGACATAGGATGGTAAGAAAAATGGTGGTGTCATTCAAAAACCGTCACTGACATTTAGCACCATTTTGTAAAATGCTTGTAAGTCTACCCTAAAGAATCAGAACCAGTGTTTCCCTAGGTTTACTGCTTTGGGGGGGTGCTGCCAGGGCGGGATGAGGGTGTTTAATCACTGCAGCGTTTAGCTGAGCTTTCCCCCGGTAGAAATCTCTAGCAGGTGAAAGCTGCGTGATGCTACAAAGGGGCGTGGCTAAAGCAGAATCAGCCTGTTTGCAACAGGGCTGCAAAAGAGGGGTATGAGGCGAGCAGTATGAGGTATTGCTACAATGGGTGATCTGTTTGGTATTTTTTAGCAAAAAACTTCACAGACATGTTTTGTATGGGGATGGCCCTACAATATATGTTTCCAATATAGCAATAGGTCCACTTTAATAAAAGAGCACATGTTCAATGTGAAAAGTGACCATAGATAGATTATTTTCAGTTTCGATTTGGCGCTATAGGCCATAAAAAAAATGCAGCACCCCCAAGACAATGGTAGGGGAAACACTGAGAACAGTATAAGCGCTAGGCTCATAGGCTCCCCCTAGGATAGCCATAGCACCCCCTAAGCACCCCCAAAAAATGTATGTGTCTTTTTTTTAATGCTGTCAAAATTATCGCGTTAACGGCGGTAATTAATTTTTTGAATTAATTACGTTAAAATATTTAACGCATGTGCAGAATGGCCCGCCCCATACATCCCACCAGTGGCAGCGTCAGGGTATGGCTGGGGTAGGCTACACCCATACCAAGAAATGGCTTAGCCCCACATTGAAAAATGATGTTAAAGTAAGCAAAATAAAGTCTGCCAACTCGCGCCGAGAATTGCACAGACGGCAGTTAGTAAGATTGATTTCAGAAGCCACTTGTCTGGAAATACCGAAGACCAGAAACGGTTTTGAAAACTTTTGTCACGTAGTGATCGTCTTCTCAATAGAACATCTTTGATAATGTCTTCTGGCCAATCAGAATCAAGATAACGGCGTGGTGTTGTTGCAGGAAGTCCCGACGGAGAATACTTTTGCTGTAGTACAGGTGTGCACATAACTGGCACACAGGTTATGGGCGTAATCTGAAATGCGTACCAGCACTTGTGTCACAAAGCGCATTTGCGTACCGACGTACTTGTGAAGCTTTTCCAGAAGGCGGTTAGATTACCGGACGACAGAGTCGGTCTCCGTGTGCACAGACAGGGCTGCTGTTAACGTCGGTCTGTACAACGGAATTGTGCCAAAAAACTACGCCAACCGGCTGCGGAGGGAGACTCCCCCCCTTCACTGGAGAACTGCGCTAAAACAGCTGATCACACAACCCAGTCTCACGGCATTTCGTGTTCACCAAACACGATTTTTAATCTATTGATTCGTGTTCACCAACACGATTTCCCCCTTTTTTTCGTGTTGCACAGCACGATTTTAAAAGCAATGTATTTCTACTGGTAATGACGCTCATGGAAGCACGGCATTCGTTTGTGTCGGCTGCCCTTAAGGCCCTGACACACCAGGCCGATATCGGCTGTTCTCGTAAGTCGGGAGACGAAGCGTGTCCTGTCGCCCAAACTCAAGTTGGTGTGTCCCGCACCGTCGACCGTGACACGCCTTATTTGGACTGCCAGACCCGATGTTGAATCGGCCATGCGTCGGGTCTGGCAGTCGGACCAAACAATCACTCCGATTGGCTGTTCAGCTAGCAAATCAATGCATGAGAAGCAAAACGGAAGTGAGGGGCGTAAACAAACGATTTAAGAAGGCACACACAGACTGATATTCATTTTCATCTCATCATGGCGATCTGGAATGACGCAAACGAAGACCTGCTCATCACATTGATCCAGGAGAGGCCAGCTCTGTACGATATCACGGAGAAAAGGTACTCTAACCGAGTAGTGAAAACCGGACTCTGGCGAGAGATTGAAACGCAACTTGGTTTCTCGGGTAAGATTATCTTTTTCATCAATTGAGCTCTTTAGCAGATACTGTTGGCTTTTTATTGTTTGCCAGCGTACAGTGACGTTAACGTGAAGTGTAATTTATTATTTCAACCTTGTGTTTTGTTGTTATCTTGTTGCTAGCTGTTGCTAGCTGTGCAGTTTGGCACTGCATATAGATATGAATTGGACATGCTAACTAGCCACAATGCTTACATCGTTTATTTGTGTGCTTCAGAGAAAGAGCTGAGGAAGAAGTGGGATTCTCTGCGAACCCAGTACACCCGGTACAGGAGACTTGCCCCTTCGGGTAGTTGTGGAGCACCAAAGACGGGCAGACAGCAGTGGATCATAACCAGGCTGCAGTTTGCACACGCTATTTGTTGTTGTTTATATCACGCAGTCTGTTCTTCTTCTCTGTCTTCCGGTTGTTGCCTCTTTTGAATGACGAATACACACTACCGCCGCCTGCTGGTAAGGAGAGTTATTGCCACTCACGCACTGAAGTCTTTGCGGTGTGTTCCCGTGCGACACATGGCCAAGACGCAGGAGAACACGGCCAGGCAACAGCCGACGTCAGCGTCGGCGAGTCCTCTGGTGACTGCTTGGTGTGTCAGGGCCTTTAAAGGCAATGTGAGCGTCCATTCTCATTGGATAACGGAGAATTGTACACCCGGAAGTAAGTATTCCCCTTACTGTCGATTGATTTTACAGTGATATCTGCACTACTCATCGACTAAAAAACACCAGATTATCCTTGTTAATTACACAACATTGATTGGTTTAAATTGTGTGCAATGCTTTTGTATTTTTCCCCTTCGATTCGGAGACACAAATATTTTTTCGG